GCCTGTGGAAGAGGAGGGCATGGAGATTATATGAGAGCTACATGCCCCATAGGTGGGGGTAGCCTGTTTACAAAGTAAGGGAGGGGAAGAAGCTGCTTGCCGCCATTCCTCCGGTTTTGCTCTGGCTGTTTGCTGTTCGGCTGCCATTCCCCCTTTGCTCTTGTTGCTTTGCTGTCTTCTGCCTTGGAGCCAGCCAAGTATGGGCTGAAGCCTCCACAAACTGTAAGCTAAATAAACCTTTCCTTCATTTTGGGCTTCGGGTATTTTATCTCAGCAATGAGAGAAAAGTAACCAAGACACCAAGTCAATGTTAAATAACCTTCAAACTATGTTCTTATAACAACAGCATCATAGTTCTCAACCAATGAATTATCCCAACTGACTTGTAAACTTGAGCTGGTGGACAGGGTACATTATTTGATTCACCTGTATATCCTCAGTATTTTAGCATAATGAAAAAAAAAGTGAATGAATGGATTAGCGCAAACACCAGGAACCCTTTCTCAACAATCCTTTTTTCCCAGCATTTCTTCAGCAATTACAACCTCATCATTGACACACGAGCATTGTTTTAGGTAAATCCTCCTTACTGTGGCTATAAGAAAGACTGCTGAACTTGCTTGTGAAGCTGGAAGTGCCACAGGATCAAAGCTTGCAGCCACATTTATATCATCCTGCTCTTGGTAGTCAAAGGTGGATCTCTGGCTCTTTTCCTTTGGCTTATTCAAGCCAACCTGGCTTCCTCTTTAGTTCACATTTTCTCCTTCGTCATCTGGTGAACCTTTGGATAAAGGTTGTGGTCTACACTATCATTCATTTGACAAATATAGAGTAAGGGTCTTTTCTTTAAAAAATTTAAAAGCTGTGGTCTTGCCAGTTAGCCACTCAAAAGCCAGAATTCTGCTGCAGCAGGCCGTCATCTCAACAGTCGGGAGCCAGCAAATGCCAGGCAGAGAATGGGCAAAAGGAAAACCCTCACACACCATTCCCTGGGGGCTCTTTAGGTTATAAATATGTATTGGCAGCATCTTTTGATCCAATCTCAATATGTGCTTTTCCTCATAGTGAGGAATCATCCCACTCTCTCTTAAAAACAGATTGAGGCACACTTAGAGCCATCTGGAAGACGACGCGGGCTGATTAGGGTTCAGTCTTACTCCTTAGAGAACAGCTTACACAAAATTACACTGAATAGAGCTTCAGAATCAAGCTGCTTTTCCCTTTTCCTTTTACAATATGTACTTTACCAAATGCAGTGATCCCTCTTAAGACATTTTTCTCCTTTATTTCCTAGTCCCTTTCTGACAGCAATTCTTTTCTTTGCAGAGAAATAAGGCTTTTCTTTCATTGCCTCTATTCCCTTGATGACATGAAGTGTTCAATCACAACCAATTTACAGATAATGTTGTGCTCTTTTCCTGCATGTTTGTCAGTTTCATCACCTGTGCCAGATTGTCAAATGCATGCCCTAGATAATGTCGCTACCTTAGTCAACAAGTTTCGTCCTGCTTCTAAATGGAAATGTTTTGGAAATTTTTCTCTTGGCTCCTTTTTTTCTAGCTTGCAATCTTTTGGATGGCTTGGAATTGGCTTTTGTCTGGCTAGTGTCTTGTGCTCTATGGGTTGACAGTTGTTGTTCAATCGGCTTGTGGATAAGTTGTCAAATTGACTTCCTCAAGTCACTATATATAGGTCATCAGCAGGAAAATGCAGACGGGGTGCGAACAAAGCAAATCCTCCATCAACAGTCAGAAATGTGCAGGGAGGACTTCGCTTCTGATCTTCGCTGAGCCGGAGCTCCTGATATGGTTCCTGCCTCCTGTACAAAGGCAAGAAAAAGCCCAAATGATATGAAACGCTGCCGAGAGTCCCCCTCCAATTTTTCTCCATATAATTTGAGTAAAATAGTTTAAGAAATGTTATTTGGGAGCATAGTACAACTGTGGTTAGGAAAAAATGGGTTTTGGTTGGGGGAGGGATTGACTTGTTTCGTTGATCTCATCAATATTGATGACCTCAATTACCCTGCTAAAAATAAAGTGGAAGATAAGAGGCAAGGCAGCTATAAATGAAAGATTTCTAATCTCCAGATCTCTGCCTATGTATTTAGGCAGCCAGGCTTCGGTTCTTTTCTCTTAGTCAATATCAGGAACTGTGTGGGTGTGCTTGTTGCCTTCCCTTGGCTCAGCTGACAACCCTAACAGAAAAGCTGGCACGTCCTTCACTTGTGGCATGAGGATGACATCTGATTCTATGCTGAGTTAATGATAATCAATAGGAAGCAGCAGTTATAAACATGAGTAGAGGCAAAAATTCTGAGTTTTGTGATCTCCCTGAAGGACTGACTTTGTAAGCCTGCGACCAGGGGCACTCTGCATAGGATTGTCTTTGGACAGGGCCTATGTTTAAAAGCTTTATGTTTGGTTTAATAATTTGAGGTTATCCCTTAGATGTCCATAACATATTTTGAACAAAGAATTTCACACTTTTGCTTTACACTCAAAGTTATATAGTCTGAATCCAGATGTACCATTAAGCATGAAAACACAGTACGGAAAGCTGTACATGCTAGGTGTACAAAACCAGAGCTGTACACTGTAACAGCTCCCCACCCCACCACAACACACACCCCACACCCGTGTCTTTGTTGAGAGGTGATTATTTTATTTTATTTTTTCTTTATAATTTTCTTCTTTATTAGTATGTGTTTGTAGCACAGAATGATTACATTCTTCCCGAGAAGCTGATACATGTATGTAACACATCTGCATTCTTTTTCTTCCCTTTTCCCCACTCCCCTCCCTCCCGCTCTTGTTCCCCCTCACATTTATAAGAGATGTAGGGCTGGGGATGTAGCTCAGTAGCACAGCACCTGCCTGGCAAGCACAAGGTCCTGAGTTTGATTCCTGGTACCAAATAAATAAATAAATAAATAAAACTAAAAGATCTATCTGCCTACTTTCTATATCTGCCTTTTATTTTGTTCTTTATATATATTTTGGGTTTTTCATATAAGAGAAGTCATGAGCTATTTAAACTCGCATTTCTGATTTATTTCATTTAACATTATGGTCGCAAGGTCTATCCATTTTCCTACAAATGACACTAGTTTACCCTTCTTTATGGTACAAAAGGACTCCATTGTGACAAGTAGTGTTTTGCAGCCATTAAGAGTACAGATGCTGCCACTAGACTGCCTACATTTGAAACTTGCTCTGAGCAAGTTACATTACAGTGCTTCAGTGCTCTCATCTATAAAATGGGATAAAAACGTACCCATCTCACAGTGTTGCTGTACGGATTAAGTTACTTAATAAGTGAAAAGTCCTTAGAGCACTTCTTTGTCCTTAGAAAGGCTACATTAACTGTTATGTTATTATTAATTCAGATTGTGTTGTTATTTACTTAGATTACTTCTGGAAAGCTATCTAATAAACCAGTGAAAGTGGTTCCCTCTAGAAACAGAGACTAAGGAACGGGCTCAGAGCAGAGGTGGCTTTTGTGAGATTCAAATTTATACAGTTTTATTTTATATATATTGAGACAGGGTCTTGCTATGCAGTTTAGGCTGGCCTTGAGCTCACTTTGTAGCTCAGGCTGGTCTCGAACTTTCAATGATCCTTCTGCCTCAGCCTCCCGAGTGCTGGGATTGCAGGTGTGCAACATGACGCCCAGCTCTACAATTTTAAAGATCTCTCTCTCTCTTTTTTAAAAAAGACAAATTATAAGCAAAACTAAGGCAAGCATTTATTTAGAAAGAAAATATTTTAGTGTTTACTGATGCTACATAGTGCAGAAAAGATAAATTATTTTTATTTACTAATTAATTAATAAGCTTCAAAAGTACTTCTCCCACACTTTGGCTACATAATTTTTGATTGCCTCCATGTGCCAGTAATTTCATATCCTTTTAAATTGTGAAAATAGAAAGATAATTCATTTTTCCTCTGTATACTTGTAGCAAGCATTCTTGACATGTAATTAACATACCATAAAATTTACCACTGCAAGCTGGAAGTCATGGCACATGCCTGTAGCACCAGTATACTGAGAGGCTGAGGCAGGAGGATTCAACTCTGAGCCCAGCCTGGACAATTCAGTGACTTAGTGAGACCCTGTCTCAAAATTTAAAATACAAGAGGAGCTGGGGTTGTAGCTCAGTGCAAAGGCCTTGGGTTCAATCCCCCTATTATAGAAAATATAATACATAGGTTGGTGATCCTTAGCAAGTTATTACAGTTGCACGATGTGTTTTAATTTAAAGCTTTTCTACCAGCCCAGAAAGTTCTGTCATGGCTCTTTGTGCTTGCTTTCTAAATTTAATTCTTAAATATTTTGTTTTGTTTTAGTTTATCTTTTGATGTTATTGTAAGTAGAATCATTTTAATGTTATTTTCTGGCTGTGTTTTGCTAACTTTGGAGATAGAATTGACTCCTTTTTTTTTTTTATTGCTTTTGTATCCTGTATCCTTGCTAAACTTAATTATTAGTTCTAGTAGTTGTTTTGGGTTTTCTTGTCAGTATTTCTTATGATATTCTACATGTAGAATCATGTTAGTTTGTCAATAAAGACAGAGTTACCTTCTCTTTTCCTGTTTGCATGCCTTTAATTTTTTATGCCTGCATTACTATGCTGTCAAGAAGCTGTTATACACTGTTGCATAGAAGTTGTGAAAATGGAAATCCTTAAATGTTCCTTATCACAGGAGAAAGGACTCAGTCTTTCACCATTGAGTATAAGGTTAAGCTGGGTGTTTTTGTCTTTTAAATATTAACAGGTTGAGGAAGTTGTCCTCTGTGATGGTTAATCTTGATTGTCAACTTGATTGGTTTGAGAAATACCTAAGATATTAATAAAGCACACTTCTGGGTGTGTCTGGGATGTTTATGGAGACAACTGGCACATGGGGCCTCAGACTGAGTAGGACCCACCCAGACTGAGGGTGGGTGGCAGTGCCTAACAGGCTGGAAGTACAGGTGGAACAAAAGTAGAAGAACAAGGACGCCTTCTAGCACACATTTTCTCCCTCTATGCGCTCTGCTTCCTGCTGCAAAGAGGTAAGCAGCTTTCTTCTGCCTTACTCTTCTGTTGTGATTTTCTGCCTTTCCACAGGCCCAGAAGCAATAAAGGCACGTGACCACAGACTGAACCTTCTGAAATCAGGAGCCAGAATAAATCTTTCCTCCTATAAATTATTATTTTTTTTTAGGTATTTGGTCAATGAAGGATTAACACACCTTGTGTTACTAGTTTAATGAGGATTTTTTTGGGGGGTACTTAGAGTTGAACTCAGGACCTCATGCTGGCCAGGTGGGCACTGTGAGAGTTTTTATCATGAACAGGTGTTGATCTTTGTCAATACTTTTGCCAAACCTTCTAAAATGAACATGTTGGTTTGTCCTTTAGTCAATTAATATGATGAATTACATTAATTGAATTTCTGATGTTAAACCAACCTTGCATTCTTTGGTAAAAGTATATATTCCCTTTTAAAAAAAAATACTGGATTTGGTTTGCCATTATTTTGTTAAAGAGTTTTGCACCTATATTTATGAGAGACATGACCTACAATTTTCATTTTATGATATGCCTTTCTGAAGTATAAGGATCTTATAGAATGAGTTGGACAGTGTTCCCTCTTTCTTTATTTTTTGAATGAATCTGAGTACTTTGACTTAGTGAAACCATTTGGACTTGGACTTTTCTTTGAGGAAAGATATTTTATTACTAAATCAATACGTGAATTTGTCACACATCTGTTTTAGATTTTCATTACTAAAATTAAATACCTGAAAATAATTAACTTCTAAAGAGAAAAGGTTTATTTTCATTCACAGCTTTAGAGGGTCTAGTCTATGATTAATTGTCCCCACTACTTTAGTTATGTAGTGAGGCAGGGTATCATAGTGGAAGCACACGGCAAGAGTCCATGGTGAAGCAAAACCACTCACCTTATTGCCAGAAACAAAAGAGCAAGAGGAAGGGGTAGAATTCCTGCAGGAAGACCTAAGAACCTCCCACTAGGCTTACCACTCAAAGATCCCGCTACCTCCTAATTGGGCCACTCTGGGGAAAAAGCCTTATACATATGGGCATTTGGAGAATATTTACCATCCAAACTATGTGACAAGGTCTATTTAAATATTCCATTCTTAGAGATGAAGAAGTATAAACCATGTGACTAACACATAGCCTCCAATAATTTGTTTTAATTCAGTGCTACCACATTTTTGTGACATACACTTTGAGGAATTTTCATAATTCTATTGTGTGTCATTTTTATCAAAAAAGGAAAAATCACCTTATAGAACTGTTATAATCATGCACACTGTATGTACCATATGATTATGCACATTTCTGGCAAGAAACAACTAGTATTTTGCATTAGTGAGAACCGAAACTACTATTTATAATTTTACTTGTTTGCTGTCAGTAAGAATTTGTATGGCATGGCTTTTGGTTCCGTACAATTCACAACCAGTTTCATTCCCATTGCATACACTTTCAGTGCTGAGCATGATGGCACATATTTATATACTGTGAACTCCAGTCTGCATATCTTTGTGTCATTATCCCACATGGGAGGAGAAAATGGTCGGTGCCTACCTGAGACTGCTATTAATCATGTAACTATACACAGTAGTGACTTCAAACTGCATTAAAAAGTACTCCCAGCTCCATTTCCCATAACTACAACCCTAAAATGTTGCAGCCGGGGCTGGGGATTAGCTCAGCGGCAAAAGCGCCTGCCTGGCAAGCGCAAGGTCGTGAGTTCGGTTCCTGGTACCGGAGAAAAACAAAAACAAAAACAAACAAAAAAAAAAATAAAATGTTGCAGCCATTCAAATGCCAACAAAAAATGGGTATGCGTGACAGAGTAGGGCTGTAAAGATTTTTTCTGTGCCAGGTATAATTAAATTACCTAACTTCTGCCAATAGTATAAAAAGTACAACCATGTAAACACGTTGCCCAGTCCCTGTAACAACATTGGAAGGGATTCATGCAAATGAGCAGCTCTGAAGTTTGCTCTTTGTTCTGTAGTAAATCAACCTCTGAGTAGAGGAAAGACTTACTTCAAAAAGTACTGGGTTCCAAACCTTGCTCTCGTCATCTTACCAGATATATAACTGATATATTGGATAAAGCTTCTGAGCTTTAACTTTCTTATATGAAATTAATAATAATTAACATCTATTATCCATTTCCCGCATGCTATAAACTTTAAGTACATTATATCAATTAATTAAGTCTCACAGTCTTTTGATATGGGCTATATTAAAGTCCTCATTTTATAATTATGGAAATTAAATGACTTTCCTGAAACATACGAGTAATTACCTCACAGCACTGCTCTGTGCAGTTAGTGTGAAAACAAATGTAAACATGCCTTGTATGCTCCGAAACACTACACGCAGAGCATTCTCCATCAGAGAGCTGTGGGAAATTTGTCAGCTCAGTGTCAGCTCAGGGGACCATTAACCGCCAGCCGGCCCGAGCAAAGTGAAATCTTGGAAGAGAGCCAGCCTACTGTTGCTGCTCACCAAAGTACAAGGCCAGTGGGAGGGGCCACAAAGAGTCACGCACAGTATGGTGGAGTAGTTTTCAAACTTCTTGCAGTGTAAGGATCATGAAGAGGGGACTGCAGTGATGAACACGAAAGCTTCTTAATGCCAGATATTCTGACTCAACAAGGAATGGTGGGGCTTGAGGACCTGCACTTTATTAAGCATTCTGTTTTATTTTGGTGTAGGGGTTCTGCATCATTGATTAAACATCAGACAGCTGGCTGTTAGGGGAGATAGCTGCTAATCAACTTGCTGGTTTTTTTCTCTATCTTTGAATCTCCACCTTAATAAGAGAAAGAATGAAGGAAGAAATTATTTACCATAGTTAAATGCTGGTGGTTCTGGGACTTTCATATACTATTTGTATTTTACTGTGAGTTTCAGGTGTTTCTTTAATAGGGAAGACTGGTCAAAGGAAAGGATGAGAGCACTAGGCCATTATAACTGAAAAAATTCCCAAAGAGAAAAAAGTACAGAACAGGGAGGACAAACGTGTCAGTGTTTTCATCTTACAACTGTAGGAAAGCCAGGTAGGGCCTGAGAACAACTTGCTGCTTTGTGGAGCAACTGTGGGAAGACCATGGCAGTAATTCATTCACCTAGGAACTCAGACAACTAGGGAGATCTGAAGTCTGAACATAAAAAAAAATCAGATTGAAAGACACCATGAATGAGATGCTATGTTCAGATTTCACATAGTCAGGGATATTGGCATTTTCTCCCAAATTTGTCCACAGATGTCACCATGACCAGATGTCATTGAGATACTCTGACCTTTAAGATGTAAATAAAAATTTAAAGGGATCATAATCCAGGTGAATTTGATGAATTGAAACCTTCTGAGATTTCTCTATTTTTCTAGAATTTTTTTTTCAATAAATGACCAGATAATATTTTCAGCTCTGTAGGCCATATAGTTTCTGTCACAACATTAACCTTGACATTAAAGTAGGAAAACAGCCACAGGACACATGTAAACAAGTGAGTGTGGCACACTCTCCATAAAACATTATTTACATAAATAGATGGTGTGCCAGACTTGGCCCATGCATGTGGCATGCAAAATGCGGAATGTGGAATGCTTACTGCTTACCTGCTGTCTTTGTCCACTTGGGCCTCTATAACAAGATGCTATACACTGGGCAGCTCATAAGCACTAGAAATTTATTTTGAATAGGTCTAGAGGTCAGGAATTCCAAGATCAAGGCACCAGTAGGTGCTGTATCTGTGAGACCTCACTTGCTGGTTAACAGATGCTGCCTTCTCGCTGGTCCTTGCATGGTAGAAGGGTGAGGCCTTTTGGAGCCTCTTTCATAAGATCACTAATCCTGATTATCTCCCAAGAGGCTCATTTTCTAATACAATTGCATTAGGGAGTAGGTTGCAACTTGTGAAACATGAGGGGTACAAACGTTCAGATCACAGGACTTGCACACCTCTAGTTTGGAGCCCCTACTTTTGCTGAATTATTTCCATGTATTAGCCATTTCATTATCCTGTGATTATCTCCTTGTTCCACAGGGTGTAAGGCTAGAAATGAAGCTGGCACAGCTTACTAGAAAGCTCATTTATGCTGAGATCCAATCAGGCTCCCGTGTCTAACCATGACACATGTGCTAGCATGCTCCAAACTCTTACGTAATGCTCAGCTGATTCACCCTTTCCAATATGGGAAACAGGTTGTACCACCTCATGCCAAAAGCAGGAGGCATGGAACTGATGGCTTTTTAGCAAATTCTTAGGGCAGGGAGGGGGAGAGAGATTGGGTTCCATATTTTACTCTGAAACCAAGCTAAGGCTACAGGTTAGGTTGCTCTGCTCCAACTCCTCTTCTCTGATTGAAAAAAAAGCAGCAGTTGCTTTACAACACTTGGAAAGCAAGAAATGCCACACTTCTTCACTTGGTTAAATTAAATTAAATTAAATTAAATTGGCTGAGAAAAAAAGTCAGTCAATGATTTTGGGGGCTCCCCAACCCTGGATGATATAAGGACCTCAGGACTTGTGTGATACAGGACTTGTGTAATACTCCTGTGATACAGGAAAATGGAGCATGGCACCATTCCTCAGTCTCTGCTGACTCGTGAGTTCTGTACCCAAGATTTCATGGTTCACTTGATGTGAGCAGCTCTTAGGAGGTTCCAGTTTTTCTAGCCACAAATGACTGGGAACCCTTACCACAGATTCACAGGAGACAGGAGACAGTTTTCAGTCTTTCCGGCAGTATGGACTGCTTTGTAATGGGCTCTGATATGTGTCAGTTGTACAAACTGATCTCTGTTTCTTCTTGGTTGTTAAGAATCAAACTAATCTCCCAGGAAGCTGGTTGTTTCCTCATTTTAAATCACCAGGCTTCCAAATCCTTTCCTTATCGGGGGATCCAGGTTAATATTCTTGGGTCCAGAATTTCAAAGGTGCACACTGTTTGTCTCACATAGTGACTGATTCTATTTTAACCAAACCCTAATGCCTTTGGGCCTGGCAGCTAATC